CACTTAAAATAGATCAAGAGCCATCTTGTATATTTTGTTTAGATTGACCAGTATTCTTGATAAAGTAGACTAAAATATAAATGCTACCTAATTTAGGACCCAAGTATGGATTGTTAGTCATCCAACATACAAGTGTAGTGTGGCCTATGATCCAACTACACAAGTTTAAAAAATGAATAGTCCATTAATGAAAATAGTTAAAAAAAATTAATGTGCCTACTTAAATTACCTAAAATTACAAATAATTAAAAACTAAAATACTCAACAAACCTTGTCTATTACTTTTGAAAACAACAATTGTCGTGCTTTGACACACTTTCCTTGGTGACAATCACTCAACTAAAAAACATTCACAATATTTGTCAACAATCACACCTTTCTCTAATCACTACTTCACCACTCATCACCTCCAAAACATGCTACCTTTTCTCGTTTAGTCTTTTAATGGCCTTTTCTTTGATAACGATTGTAACACACTAAATTTTCTCTTTTTTTCAATTAATCCTAACCTTTATATTAATTATGTATCTTTATTAACTTCATTAAAGTTGACAAAATGGGCTACTCAATCCACTACAAGTCAGTTTGATACGTGCCATGAGTTATAATTAACAAGCTAGGTCAGAATGGCTCAGATTAAATTTAATCTTCTAAATTGATGTCTAAACTTAACTCACAAGCCTAGTCCTATTCAACCATGTGTTCTTCAAACTGGCATGACATTTAAATTTCTTCTTAGTTTTTTTTCCCAAAACAAGTTAGATAATTATTTATTTTTATTGACATATTTATGTAATTAATGTAATAAATAAAGTATAATTAATTATTTTATTATATTATTAAATTTTAAAAAAATATATTAAAAATTGATAATGTGAGAATTTTTATAATTATTTTTAATGTGAAAAACACTTGTATATAATATGTTAATTTTATCTATCATTTTATAAAAAAAATGTAGTGAAAAATACCTACAAATATATAATATTCAACCATTTGGGAAAAAGTTTGTAAAACTATAATTTTATTTAGTCCTTGTCTCTTAATTATTAAGTTTTTCTCAACCACTTAGCAAAATTTAATAAGAAAGTGAACAGTCCATAGTTTGACCGGACAAGTTCAACCTGAACCTGTTTATGACTCGAGCTTTATTGAATCAAGCTAAAAAAATTGTATTTAATTCCAATTTTAAACTTAGAGCAAATCCTATAATTTATTGAGTAAATTTGAGCTAGTTCAACTAGTCCAACCTATTTTGTGACACCCCCTACCCCGTATACCATAAACACATAATTAATGAAATTCGAATAACTCAATCTTTCATTATTAAAATACCAAACGTGTTCAGATAGAGAGCACCACATTCATGACTTAAACAAATAACATAATCAACGAAAATTACAAAATAAATAAGGCTAAGGTTTTTAAAATAATTTAATAGAAATAACATCCTAATCTAATCCTATCTACGCCCGATGTCACATGTCCTATCAGAGCAAAAACCAACATTGAAGCCTAAGTTTCATCACCAACATCCTCAGCCTCATGCTGATGATCACCTGTATAACAACCAAAGGAAAACAACACAAAAGGAAAGGGAGTGAGAAACATCTCAATCTAGCTCATGATGTAGGAATACACAATGAATAGTCAAACACAAACAAGACATGTATATGTACATAACATTGATAGATTAACAACAATATCACATCCCACTCATCCAAGACATAAAAATCACTTTAGAATATAACATTAAAATGCACATGTAATGACACAAACTACTTATTATCGTGCATGTGGCGCCAGTAACACATCACGTGATGCATTCCCGCTAGTAACACGCGTAGAGTAGTCTAGGAGTACATGCTAGGTCACACCTTCTGCACACTCTTATTAGAAGGACATACTACTAGGGTCTAGTCAGGATAGCTAAGCCGCGCAAGATACATCCCATGCACACAATGGGTGAGACTGAGACTTACAAACCAAGCTATCCCCAATAACTAATCCCCAAGCTTTTACACAAGGGGGTCTTCCCTGGCGTTGTATTCCATATCGTACCCTTAAAAACATTTATGCAAATGATGCATGTAAATCAAGACTCTATGAATTCTCATATCACATTATCATGTCTCATTATCATATAACATTTTCATGTAATTCCGTCGTATCAAATTTTCTCACATCACATACTCATCAATTATATTCATTAGAGGATAACATTGAATAACACAAGAGATTCACATCATTGCATATCATAGATCACAAGAGGGAAGTAACACATGATTCATATTATACCAATAGAATTCATCAAACAAAAAAGGAAAGAAGCATAACAAGACAATTGGCGCTCAACCCCAGATTGGGCGCTCAGCACAAGGATTCTAGAGAGTAATTTTAACTCTCTGGTTAAGCCACGCTAAGCGTGGAATCTCACGCTTAGCGTGGGCACGCTAAGCCTCAAGCTCACGCTTAGCCTGAGGGTCACAAACAACATTATCAACTTTTTGTCACCTTGATGCTTAGCGCCAGAAATGATGCTTAGCGTGGTTTTTGGGATCAGAACTCTATAGATCTGCGATTTTTCGTATTTTGTATCCAAATCATTGATCTCTTTATACAATCAGTAAAAACGTTATAAATCATACGATAAATATTTAAAACAATACAATTTACTTATACAATTATATCTTCAAACAATCTTCTCTTATAACTACCGATGCATTCTCTTAGGGTTTTTCATAGGAGCCCATAGATCTCAAATCATACAATTACAATTCTAAAACTGAAATTAATCATTTATTCAAGCAATTCATACAATTAATTACATACAAGAAGAACAATAAATGAAACAGACACAATTAGGGAAAACCCCTCATACATAAGCATACAACAAACATAGGATTGGAGGCCAATCCCATTACCCAACATACATTCCCACACCCAGAGCGAGGTTTCTCACTTTCCCCTTACTTTGTTGAGCAGAAAAAGATAAATGGTTAAATCTAGGGTGGTTACCTCCTTCTTATGGTTCTCCGAGCTCTGAAGCGTAAACGTTTACGCGAGGAAAATGTAAAATGTAAAACTTATCAACCTTCTCTTTTTTTTTTCTTTTTAAAACCTAACCTCCCTTTAACCCTTTAGTAAAAATGTGAACCATGGTTATCAAAATAATTCCCCTTCCCTTATTATAATTAATTAAATAATATAACCTTTAATTATAAAACCTCACAATATATATTCATATAAAATAATTGCCAATAGTAAAATATTTAATTATCACAAATGTGATAAATAATAATAATAAAATAATTATTAACCAGCTCTTATTAATAAAATACAATATCAAAATTATTAATAAAATACTATAATATATTTTATAAAAACATGGTGTTACATATTTTACCAACTCTATTCATTAAAGAGAATTTAGCATGTTAAAGTAAAAAAAGTAGTGTTGGGTTCTCACAAAAACAAAAGAGTAATTTAGTTTTTTTAATACTAAGTGTTACAATTATATAACATTGTGTACATGAAGGAGTTATTGAAAAGACAAAAAAAAAATTATTATTGGGTGACATTTTAAGGAGAGTTTGTCTAATTCTTTTTAAGAGGACATTTAATACACAAAAAATATTTTCATATTAGGAATCATAATTCATAAGAATCATAAATCTCGTGAATGATCATTCCTATGAATAATTACACTTTGTTTGGTTGTCCACAAATATTGTTTTAAAATATTTATAATTTTATATAAAAATAAAAAAAATTTACTGCATTAAATAAGCAAATACAAGTAATGTGATATTTTTACCCCCATTAAAACTTTTTTTTTTAACTTGAGAACATTGGTTTTCCACCTCCATTATGAGAAATTGATGTAAAAAATATATATGGAAATAATGTTTCTCAATAATATTATATTTTACATAATAAACTTAACATGAAAAACTAACATTCCTAACTTTAAATTTCTAGAAAAGTAAAATTATTTTGTATATTAAACATCTCTTAAAAAAAATGATATAATAATTACAAGTTCTTAGGAGAGAAAAGTACATATTGTTTTAATTAAAATAAATTAATCAAAAAATTATCCATGATGACTGATGAGATAATAAAAAGTAAAAAAAATATTAACCACACAATTGAAATTTATTAAAAATTACACAATCATGATAAAAACTTATTAAATAAAATTCAAGAGTCATAAGATTTTATAATTTTTAATAAATTTTAACTAATACAAAATAATATATTTAAAATAATATGTTGATAGTCTTCTCTAAAAAAGTAAAAAAGTACTTCTAATCAAATATAAGAAAGAAAAATAATCTTAAATATGAATATCTTTTAATTAATTTCACTTTATTTAATGATATTATTTTTAAAAAAAAGCTTTTCATTAAAATTATATTTATAATGAGATCGAATCTTAATGAAAAGTATTTAAAAAAAATGTTATTTTACAAATACGATTGGTGAAATTAAATAATATTTAATTAACATAAGTAATAAGTTATTAAGTTAAACTTTTATCAAAACATTTATTTAAAAATAAAAATTATTACCTAAAATAAATCAGCATTTTGTATATAAAATAATAGAAAAAAATAATTGTTCTTTAAAAAATTAAAATGGCGTGACGAATTTCATTAATGGCTGTCATGCTCATGCAATTGATTAAATCTATGGGATAGCCTTGCATCTACTACATACACACACATCAAACAATAAATAGCCATCAAAAAATGAACGTCCAAGACAAAACATTGACAAATTTCTTTGCAACCGTTGACCATGGGTGGTGTTTTGCTGCTATGCCTATGCTTTTCATTATTTTTAGAAACCAAACCAAACCAAAATTGTAGCTAATGGCTGCAAACAATGCACAGCAGAAGGTGGTGAGAGCTAATTAATATTAACAAAATGGATTACACATCACATGGTCAAACTGTCAAAAAAATAGGATTAAAAAAAAAGCAAAAAAAAAAAAAAGAAAACATCACCCACTACATGATACACTTCCTCAAATCACAGATATAGAGAGAGACAAACGTATGTCATGTTCTTCGTGTTGGCAGTTTTCTTTCCTTCTCCGATAAACACTCTCTAACTCTATCTTCTTGCTCAATCCTCTCCCCTCCAATCCATTTTCTCTCTCTTACCCTTTTTCTTCTCCCTCGCATAAATTCACGCCCACCCACTTCACAATCCGCGCACGCAGATCCAAAGTTCTTAACTTTTTCGCCGTTCCTCGCGAATTCCCCAACCGGGTCATCCGAATTCTCAACATTACTGTGCTGTTTAAGCCAACCCTAAGTCCCTGTTTTCAATCCCAATTTTCCCAATTTTTTTTTTTTTTTTTATCGTGTTTTCCGGATCAGAATCCCCGACCCATGTCGCGAATCTTTGGTAGATGGACGAAGGCGAAGGAAATGGCGGCGCTTCCGAGGTGTCTGCCACGTGGGCACCGCTCAACCGGGTTCAATTCGTGTCCGGTCACGACCCACCGGAGCATGGTCGCCGGCCACCGCCGGCGCGACGCTCCGGTGGGGCTGCAGGAGCGGTACAAGTGGGATCGCGGCGGGTCGGACGACAACCCGACCCGGAAGATCCTGGCCGAGGCTAATTGCCCACGTTGCACCAAAGACATGAACCTTATTTTCTCCAATCGCCACTTTACCATCCCACCAAGTGAGTCTAGTTCTGAATTGGGTGGTGGGGGAGAAAAAGAAAAGGGTTACCAAGCAGTGAATCGTTGCCCAACTTGCAAAACTGCTTATTACTTTCGCCCGTTTGACACTGCACCTCTGCAAGGTACCTTTGTGGAGATTGGTAGGGTCAGTAGTACTAACAATAATGGTGTTAATAATGTGAGTGGTAAGGGGCAATCTCCTAGGAGGATCACACATGGGAAGGGCAAAGAGGGTGGTAGTAGTAGTAGTAAGAGTGGTCAAGGGGGAGAGGAATTTGGGCCTAAGAGTAATAGTAATGCAAGTAAATGGCTTGAAGTGTCATTGTGGGAGACTTTGATGTCCTACAATGGTGGTGGTGGTAATGGTAATGGTGATCATGGCGAGCCACCTGAGTCGTGGCCGCCGGGTGGTAGTAATGGGAATGGGAATGGTTTGGCTGTGCATACTCCTCCAGGCCCACCTTTTGCACCTGGGATTAATGTTTTCCGGGCTACGGGGCCACGGAATGGTGGTTCAGGTGGTGGAGGGGGGGGCGATGGTGAGAAGACCGCCTGGGGAGGGTCTAATTTGGGGAAGGATTTGCCCTCACCAAAAGAGATCTGTAAGGGTCTTGACAAGTTTGTCATTGGTCAAGAGAGAGCCAAGAAGGTATCTTGTTTGCCTGAATTTTGTTTTGCTGTGCTTTTAGTTGGCTTGCTGATGTGCAATTATGTGTCAATGCACTCTTTGTGGTTTGTTTACGATGCAAAATGAGGATAGAAAGAAAATTAGTGTAAGTGTAGATATCTTTTCTAGATTCATTGTCGTAGTTTTGAAGTTGATTCCTCTGGTTTTCTTTCACTCACTCTTTGTATATCCAAAACAAATAGACTTGATGATATCTTACAAGTTGCTGCAAATGCATTGTTTTGACTTTACCTCATTAATGGTTTATGTTTCTGTTGAAGGTGCTTTCTGTAGCTGTTTATAACCATTATAAAAGGATATACCATGCCACTTTACAGAAAGGGTTAGTTCTTATACTACCTTAGTGGAATTACAACTGATTCCTCATTTCCCCCTTTTTCTTACTCATCTTCACGTATAAACTAATGCATGCCATGATAAATATATGGGGAATTTACAAAATGTCAAACTCAGTTTGTTCTTTCACATTACCTATTTGCTCTGCTTGAATTGGTGGGTTTCAATACTAGGCCAGTGCCGTCAGGCGCAGATTCAGGAGCTTCAGAAGTGTTAGATGATGACGATAATGTGGAGCTAGAAAAGAGTAATGTTCTCCTGATGGGTCCAACAGGGTCAGGTGTGACATTCATTAACACTGTTTTATTTCCTTTTACTTATATAATACATTGCTTGCTCTGTTCATATCAGTATCTGTAATTACAGCATGCCTGCAATGCTAATCTAAATTTTATCAAATAGGGAAGACATTACTTGCTAAAACACTGGCTCGATTTGTGAATGTTCCGTTTGTCATTGCTGATGCAACAACCTTAACACAGGCAAGTATGAATTCATTTGTGAGGTAATGTTAGAATTTGTAAAACAAAGAGTACGGCATAAACAAGTTAAATGATGCAGATTTATCCATTTTCCGGTGCCAAAGATCTGATTTTCTTTTCTTCTTATTATAGAGATAAGAATGTATTTGGTATGTTGTTCTGGATGCATTGATGCAATCAATTTTTACTTTCAACTGAAACTTTTGGTATTCAACAGTAGTTACTATTTCTAATTTTGTTTCATAGTTGGCTCTCTTGTCCTTGGACAATTTTTTGTTTTTGTTATTGACCTAAAATAGGATTCTAATTTGTAGGCCGGTTATGTTGGAGAAGACGTTGAATCAATACTGTATAAACTACTTGCGGTATGTGTACTGTTCTGTACCATTATGATGTTTGATTAAATTATCAATTTTTCTTTTCTAGGAATGACCTTGTTTATCGATTTTCAGTATCCTAGCTATTCTTAGTTTTTTTCCCTTTGATGCTCGCTTATATTATACAGTTGATGATGAATCAAATTTCTTATAATAGAGTTTGTTACATTCAGGGAAGCTTCCTTGCTTTAGAAACTTAATTGAAAATGATAAAGGTCAGCCAAATTCCTTAACAATTTATATTAGCTGTAGACAAGAAAAAATTAGCTTGCTCCCATTATTTTGTCAATATCATTCTGCCCATATAATAATCAATAACTATTTACTTGTGTTGTCAAGTTAGAAATTTTCTAAATTATTAAAACATTCTCAATTTATGCTGGATTTCTTCCCTCGTTGGTTATGTGATGGAGTAGCATTTTGTGCTTCAATTTTGAGCCACAATGACAAGAATGAGACATTAAAATGAATAAGTTTAGCTTGTTCTTTTTTTATTTAAAAAAAAATCTGGCTATCATGAAGATGTGAAATGTAGTCAGTGTAGAGACCAAGAATTAGTCATCTTTTATAAAAAAAATAATTAAGAATAACTTTGTTAATATTTTAATAAATAAATCCTCATGGCATGTGCTGTTTTTTGGAGTCATAACATTCATTAGAAATACCCTTTCATGTAAACCCAAGAATACAATTATAGTTAAAAAAATATTTAAACAAAAAGAAAAGGTTCCTGATATGCATGGATACATGTCAAGGAGCAAGCTAGAGTCTGAATCTTCTCATCTACTGTTCTTCTGTGGAAAGATTGTTATTTTTATCTTGTTTGTAGTTGCACTTCCTTCCATCTCATTGCTATACTGGTATTTTTGCCCTACAGGCAGCAGATTTCAATGTTGCGGCAGCTCAACAAGGAATAATTTACATTGATGAAGTTGACAAAATAACTAAGAAGGTTTCTTTGCTAATTTAACTGGGGATAAGTATATACTTTCTTATCCACTATAAATTTTAAGTGTTATGGTATATATTTTTACAGGCTGAGAGCTTAAATATCAGCCGGGA